ATAACAAATCAAAATCATCGTTACATACTCACAACTTTTTCTAATTAAAGTAAAGTATAAATAATTGGAGAGCTTTAAGTGAGATTTTAAGCACACATAAGAAAGGAGGGTGTTGATACAGGCAAGTCGGTGATTGTGAATTTTTATTTATTTTATTTTAGAAAGGATATATTGTAAATTAATTATTTACGGATGTTATTAACTAGGTAGATACAAGTTTATTCTTTTACGTTTTAATTCGCTTTCTTTGCAAATACAAATACAAATACTGCTATATAAGAATACGAAGTTTATTAAGCATAAAACATAGTACAATTTTTATTTAGCAACAAAAATAAAATAAATAAAATTAACATAAATACATTCAACGAAAAACAGAACTATTTTCCAAAGAGTTTAAAAATTTACCGGAATAAACAATCGTAGATTTTCATACAACATAGATTTCTATGTGTTGTCTATATTGCCACGTGGTGTCAAAAATGCGTTTTTAATTTGCGAAATACAAAGATCCTCAGTTATTTAAATGGATATTAAAAAAAACAACAACAAAAAAAACCAATGACATATGAATGATAATTCAAGATTAATAGTTCAAATCGCAGAAGATTTTTTTTCATACTTGTGAAGACTATACATCGAAATATTTTCATGAACTTTCTTGGAAAACAAATGAAATAATTGCAAAACATCGTCTACATAAATGATAAGAATTTACATACCAAATTAAACGTTTACCAAACATGATTTCAGAACAGTTTTTATTTAATCGATAGAAATTTTATCTCGATGTTTTATTTCATGAAAATAACGTATTTGCTATGGAAACTAGTTAAAGCGGTCCGTGCTTTACGTCAAATATATACTCGTCACGTCAACCACTTTAACACTTTGTAATTGTAAATTTTTTTGAAGTTGTTTTCTTTACCTTAGAGATCTACATATGAGCCGCGTCACGACAAAACCAACATAATGCGTTTGCGATTAGCATGGATCCAGACCAGACTGCGCATCCGCGCAGTCTGATCGTGATCCATGCTGTTCGCTTTCCAAGTCTATTACAAGTAGAGAAACTGATAGCGAACAGCATGGATCCTAACCAGACGGCGCGGGTGCGCAGACTGGTCTGGATCCATGCTGGCCGCAAATGCATTATGTTGGTTTTGTCGTGACGCAGCTCATAACTATATGCATGTAATAAAAAAGATGCTTTAAGTTAAAAAAGGTAAAGGCTTAAAGCACAAGCTGTCGTGCATGTGTCATGCAGACACAAGAAACTTTACTTTAATTAAAAATGAACAAGAAATAGTCAATTAATGAAAACAAAAATGAAGCAAAAAAGCCTTTTAATTTGATTTTTTTCGTTACTCCAGGACATTTCACGGGCAGATGCTTTGAAATGTTCTGGAATAACGAAAAAATAAATCAAATTAAAAGGCTGGTACGGTGATGATTTTTTTTGGAAATGGCTCAGCTTTATCTCTATATGAAATCATAGCGCATGCCTTTATTTTAATCCTAGTAGGACTTAAAGTGTTGTCTTAAAAAATGGTTTTCTTACAAACCTAAGTTTGGCCTTAGTTTATGTTAATCATTTTATATTGGTCACTATACATAATTTCATGTAATTCCACTAAATATTTGCCTAAAAGTAGTTCCGAGATGTAACAAAATCTCCCTAAAAATACCATTCTTTTCTTACTTTGAACGACCGTTTTTATTATTTATCACATAAACCGCGGCGCGGGAGTGTAATAAATAGAGGATATTGAATGAGTGTAAGTTAAATACTGAATTTATTGAACGAGTTGAATAAAATTTATATTATGCGAGCCACTGGCGAGCATAATATTATTTTATTTAACGAGTTCAATAAATTCAGTAATGAACTTACACGAATTTAATATTCTATTTATCACATATAAAAAATAAAGACTGTTTAAAGTGAAAAAGAGTCATTTTTCATTGACGCGCCTACAGTATAAACGCTAACATTTAGCGCGCCTTTACACTTTGTTTGTATAACGCAAATGACGTCACGTCAAATACTCGTATTTATTTAATTTTACCCATGAAATATGGTGCTATATCAGTCAAATATATTTCATATTTTTAAAAAAATAAATATGAAATATAAATATGTAAGTGGGCGGAGTCAAAACTCATATTTATTTTAAGGGACTTCTTTCGCCGTTTTGTTTGAAAAATCTGATAAATACAAAACAACTTTTTCTTGTATATTGTTTTGAAAACTATCGAGCATGATAGAAAATGGTCTAACTAAGAAAATTAACCCGAACACCAATATCTTTAATTCAGTAACTAACGCTGTACAGACGTTTAAAGAGTTGTTTACATGACGTCACAATGTAGCGCCAAACAGCGCGTGCTTACGCATAAATTACTGCGCGCTGTACATTTGCAGTTGGTAGCAAGCAAGGGGATTCGTTACCATTTTCTTTGATAATGAAATTAAATAAATGATACCGTACCGGCTCGTGAAAATATGTGGCATTTTATCATGTTTCGTGAAAATATATTCCATATTTCACGCAAACGAAAAAATATCCTCTTAATATTCATGGCTGTGCAATACAATTTTTACGGAGTCGCAAAATCTGCACGGGTATGTGATAAAAAACATAACGTTAAAGCGCGCTAATGTTAGCGTTCCACTAAAGGCGTATCAATGAAAAATGATTCTTTATATTTATATTATATTCGTGTAGATTCAATACTAAATTTATTGAACTCGTTGAATAAAACAGAGGCTCGCATAATATGATTTTATGCAACACGTTCAATAAATTTAGTATTAGACCTACGCTCATCCAATATCCTCTATATATGTATTTTTTATACTGCCTTATTACAAATGACAAATTAACTAGTAAAAGTATTTTTTGTTCAAGCGAAGACATATGAGCCGCGTCACGACAAAACCAATATAGTGGGTTTGCGACCAGCATGGATCCAGACCAGCCTGCGCATCCGCTCAGTCTGATCAGGATCCATGCTGTTCGCTTACCAACTCTATTACAAGTGGAGAAACTGATAGCGAACAGCATGGATCCTGATCAGACTGCGCGGATGCGCAGGCTGGTCTGTATCTATTCTGGTCGCAAACGCACTATGTTGGTTTTGTCGTGACGCGCCTCAATTATTATGTTCCAAACTTATACATGCTGATGTTACTTTGGACCACATGAGACCAGGTAAATGTCCGGAATAATTGCTTCGCCAGCTTTGTGGTCAGCACTTTGATTCTACTTACCAACTGTTTAATATGAATATTTCATTAAACAGTCTTTGAAGGCTACAATTCCATACGCAGAACTGAGCGAAAAAGCAATTTCACTATTTACTGTCGTCTGTTTTACTGTCGTCTGTTTTACTGTCGTCTGTTTCGGATGAGTCGGTAAATCTAAGTATCCAATATGTACAAAAATTAGAGAAAAGAAAACAACATCAGCAACAACAACAACAACAACAACAACAAAAAGCACACTTACAATAACAACAACAACAACACTAAAATCCAAATCTGTCTTTGAATCTGGTATTAATTAATCTGAAGATTTCATATACACATACATATGTCAACATATTGTACACATACATATGTCAACATATTGTACACATACATATGTCAACATATTGTACACATACATATGTCAACATATTGTACACATACATATGTCAACATATTGTACACATACATTTGTCAACATATTGTACACATACATTTGTCAACATATTGTACACATACATTTGTCAACATATTGTACACATACATATGTCAACATATTGTACACATACATTTGTCAACATATTGTACACATACATATGTCAACATATTGTACACATACATATGTCAACATATTGTACACATACATATGTCAACATATTGTACACATACATATGTCAACATATTGTACACATACATATGTCAACATATTGTACACATACATATGTCAACATATTGTACACATACAGATGTCAACATATTGTACACATACATATGTCAACATATTGTACACATACATATGTCAACATATTGTACACATACATATGTCAACATATTGTACACATAGATATGTCAACATATTGTACACATACATATGTCAACATATTGTACTGTTACATTTGTCAACATATTGTACTGTTACATTTGTCAACATATTGTACACATACATATGTCAACATATTGTACACATACATAATATTTTGTCAACATATTGTACTCTTACATATGTCAACATATTATACACATACATATGTCAACATATTGTACACATACATATGTCAACATATTGTACACATACATATGTCAACATATTGTACACATACATATGTCAACATATTGTACACATACATATGTCAACATATTGTACACATACATATGTCAACATATTGTACACATACATATGTCAACATATTGTACACATACATATGTCAACATATTGTACACATACATATGTCAACATATTGTACACATACATATGTCAACATATTGTACTCTTACATATGTCAACATATTGTACACATACATATGTCAACATATTGTACACATACATATGTCAACATATTGTACACATACATATGTCAACATATTGTACTCTTACATATGTCAACATATTGTACACATACATATGTCAACATATTGTACACATACATATGTCAACATATTGTACTCTTACATATGTCAACATATTGTACACATACATATGTCAACATATTACACATACATATGTCAACATATTGTACACATACATATGTCAACATATTGTACTCTTACATATGTCAACATATTGTACACATACATATGTCAACATATTGTACTATTGTACTCTTACATATGTCAACATATTGTACATTTACATTTATCACTACATGTATATTGTGTTCTTACATATGATAATATAATGAACAGTTACAAATGTCAACATATTTTACATTAACATAATTATGTTATCAAAATATTGAATATTTTTCAGACAATGAGGTTTATTTGTCTATCAACAAAGAGCTATTGCATCATTTTGATTTTGGCACTTCTTTGGGGTACGTTTTTCAGCCATAGTTTTTTTGTTTTTATCTAGAAAGTGAAAACATTTACTAATATTAGTAATATACTTTAGTCTTTAGGTCTTTGAAAACACAGAGGGATTCTATAAAATACATATCATTATCTACTTAATTTAACTTAACATTTAAAAGTATCAGAATTTCTTTTAAACAAGACCGTCAAGGTACTTCAGATACAAATTCACAAATTAATTTTGGACGATCAGCCTTTAATGTTCTTCAAATGACACTAGCTTTGATCGTCTGCGGAAACTATCTAGCTTAGCGTCGGTGGTTTTACTTTCGTGAAATAATGCACGAAAGAGCACCTGGTGTCTTCCTCCTCAAGCCGCAAATTGCTATACGACATTTACAGTATCGACGTGGTTTAACACTCAGCAAACGGCATGGTTATTACTACTACTATTGCCAATTCTTAATTCATGATCAGGTTGATTAGGATTATCAAGGATAGTTAACATTGTAGCAAAACAAATAAGCTCTTGTAATAAGTAGATTGATTCTGTCTTATTCTGTTTTAGTTTTTCAATGTTGTCTTAAATTCATACAGGTACTACAGCAGCAGCAAAATGGGCAAAACATCCAAATAAAATCAAACATTCTTCTCGAGAATCAGATGGAAACTCTTTTGAAATAGAAAATGCTCCTGACGGAACAGGCTCTATAGCTTCAGGTTTGTAATAATTGTGCGTGAGGTATTGTTCAGATTTCAAACAGCATATTCCTAGTTCAGCATGTCACAATAACCACGGCTCTTTATAAGCTGACGACATGACATCTATTCATTCCCGTAAATCGTTATGTAACAATAAATACAACAGTTCCATGCAATCTGACAAAAATAGTAAATCGGGACCCTTCGGAATGTAAAATAGGTACTATAAGACTAACAGAAACTTTTCCTAGCAACAGGTTTCTACAAATGTAGATCCGTATGCATCTGAAATACGATCAAGTTACTTACAAATCATAAAGCGCATCCACAGATGATTCTTTGCAACACAAGTAAAAATATGGATTTTTTTCCTTTATAATTCTCATCTTCAATTTAGAAGCTTTAATTGAGTTATAATCATATAAGTGGAATATTAATAGATAATGATTTGCACTGAATAAATCACAATTAAAAGGTTGCATAGAATTAAAGTACACATCAAAGATAATTGAGAAAAATGTAAGAAAGACTATTGTCCAGGACGGAAACAGATTTTATATTTCCTAACAGTTATAATGACCTTTTATTTCAGCTACACGATCAATATCATTAGACACTCCTGTTACAGAGCCCGATGGAAATTCATCAGTGGCAAATACAACCTTGCCTGAAACGGATCCAGTCAATGCTAATGTAATAGAAGACATCGGTATGTATACAGCAAGACTTATAAATATATAAACTTTTATTTAGCCAAGATATTTATATTGTATTTTTCCAATTAATAAACACGGGTCTCTTCTCTAATTTAACGGTTATTTTTAAGTACTTAAACCGATTTGCACGTTCACTCTAACTTTTACATGCATCATGTATGCTTTGGAACGGTTTAAAAAAGTTAAACTTACTGCTATTGCATTTTAGTTCCATGCAATATTAATAGATTGATGAAATAAATTTTCTGAAGCATGTAATTCAAAGAAGTATTTTATCAACCGTATAACTGTTAACTTATTCAAAATCATCATCTATCTTATCAAACACAGTTTAGAGAATTTGAATATATTTAAACAAATTTAAAACCTTAAAGAAAAATAATTTACACAAGTCGTCGAATTTGTTTAGATGTCTTTTAAAATTGCTTAATTAACCAGGCCAATATTCTACAAATCGTCATTCATCTTTTGTAAATAACATACATTTTACAAAACAATCTTATACTATGTATAAATTAATGTACTTTGTTTTATTTTATTCATCAACTTCAGAGTCCTTGTCTGACTCTTCCTCAAGCTCATCATCCTCAGGTATGTTTAACTTGACATTAGTAAAATATTATTGATGTTATATTTAAATCTGATTCCAAAAATTTGTCTTTGATATTTTAACATACATCTTTTTGTTAAGGTATGCGTAAAGATTATTTACCCCTAAAAGCATGTAATAGCATTAAAAAAAGCATGTTATAGCATTTAAAAACTGGTTTGTTATTTTTACTCATGTTTTTTGTTTGCTTCAAAATATCATTACGTTATTTATCAACTTCAGATTCGTCCTCGTCTGATTCCTCCTCAAGCTCGTCATCAGGTATGTTAAACTTGACATTAGTTAAATATTACTGATGTCATATTAAAAATGTCTGATTGCTATAAACTTGTTTCGAATATTGCAACATAACTTTTTGTTGAGGTATTCATATAGATTATTAACCCCCCTAAAGCACATACATGACTTTTTAAAACTTGTCTTTGATTTGTATTCATGTTTTTCTTGAAAGTATCATTATGTTCTGTATAAACTTCAGATTCGTCCTCTTCTGATTCCTCCTCAAGCTCATCATCAGGTATGTTAAACTTGACATTAGTAAAATATCATTGATATTTTTTATCAAAAGTTATATAGTAATTACCCTGTTATTAATATTTCAGCAAACATACTTTTAGTATTGATTAATTACCATAAAAATATGTAAATGAGTTTTGGAAATATGCTTTTGCACTTCTTGATAACATCTTATTCTCAACTTCAGATTCATCATCGTCTGACTCTTCAAGCAGCACATCATCATCAGATATAGGTATGTATACGAAAATAAGAAAAAACATTCTTTTTCAAGTGAGTGTTCTTTCATGTTTTTAAGTGAGATAACGTATTTTAAAATCGTCAATAATATACAAATATGGACTTTTTAGCTGGTGAATATGATGTGATATGTACTGAAAAAATTTATATTGACCGAGGCGATAGCCGAGGTAAATAATAATTTTTCAGTACATATCACATCATATTCACCAGCTAAAAAGTACATATCTGTTTTATTATATAATTTATAAATTGCTTTTATATGGCTTATTAGATCTGCCATTGCCTACGTCGGAAGCTTGTCTTATTTTTCCAAAAAATATCTTTTTCATGAGCGCATTAGCAAGCTTATTCTTATAGTGTTCTTTAAAATGTAAAGACGGTTACTAAAATACATTAATTTGACTCTTATTTAAGAGTCATCCATTTTTTTATCAGAATAATATATAACAACAAACTTGGCGTGACATCACGTCATAGCCTTGTGGCTTTCAGGGAATTTCCAAAAAATCTATTTTTAAGAAGAAAAACCGGTGAATATACTCTGAAAATCTATTTTTAGGGAAAAAAAACAGTGAATATACTCTGATATTGACCTGTTATTTTTTACAAAAAGTTGCTTGTTAGCCAATCATGGAAAGGCATTTCAAAGCTATTTATAGATTATATAATAAGTATTTATATCTAACGTTCATAAATTCAGAGCAGTTATTTTACTCAAACAAATAAAATGAAGTATCTTACCAAATTTTAAAATTGATATCAACATTTTCTCCGTTACACTTCTATTTTCCCCTGTACAATATGGTTTGTGTCGGCTTGATAACAAAGTACATAAAATATGAAATATCATCTTAACAGGGGAGACAAATTCAACAGCTTTAAATGGCAATTCAACAAATTTAAATTCGTCCTCGTCTGATTCCTCCTCAAGCTCATCATCCTCAGGTATGTTATTTTTGACATTAGTAAAATATTATTAATATCATATTAAAAAATATCTGATTGCTATCAACTTGATTTTGACACATTAACACACACCTTTTTGTTATGGTATTCACATAGATTATTTACCCCCTTAAAAGTATGAAATGACTTTTTATAGACTCATGTTTTGTCTTGAAAAAATTATTATCTTGTTCATCAACTACAGATTCGTCCTCGTCTGATTCCTCCTCAAGCTCGTCATCAGGTATGTTAAGCTTGACATTAGTAAAATATTATTAATGTTATATTACCAAAAAATATAAAATAATAATCCTGTAATATATATTTCAGCAAGTGTTGATTATTTACCATAAAATATGTACTTGAGCTTTGCAAGTATGTTTTTTTAAAAACTTTTTGAGAATATCTAATTCATCAACTTCAGATTCTTCATCGTCCGACTCAAGCAGCACATCATCTTCAGATATAGGTATGTAAAACTAAACAGGAAAAACATCCATGATTCTTTTTCTAATATGCACATTAAAGTGAGATAATGCCTTTTAAAGTTGCTTGTGTTGTGCACTTTTAAAATTCAAATTGTCAATAAGTATTTGTATCTAAAATTCATAAATTTAGAACCGGTATTTTACTCAAACAAGTAAAATGGACTATCTTACCGAATTTTAAAACTGATATAAACATAGTCTCCGTTACACTTCTCTTTTCTCCTGTACAATATGGTTTGTATCGGCTTGATAACAAACTAAATAAATACATGACATATCATTTTAACAGGGGAGACAAATTCAACAGCTTTAAACGGCAATTCAACAAATTCAAATTCGTCCTCGTCTGATTCCTCCTCAAGCTCATCATCCTCAGGTATGTTAAACGTGACATTAGTAAAATATTATTGATGTTATATTCAAAAATATCTGATTGCTCTTTACTTGTTTTTGATTTTTTTACACACGCACTTTTGTTAAGGTATTCAAAATGTTCATTTCCCCCTTTTAATATGTTAATGACTTTTTAAAACTTGTCTTTGAATTGTATTCATGTTTTTCTTGAAAATATTATTAATTGTTATATTAAAAATATCTGATTGCTATAAACTTGTTTTTGATACTTTAACGCACACCTTATTGTTAAGGTATTCAAATAATTATTTATCCCCTAAAAGCATGGGAATGGCTTTTTAAAGATCATGCAACACAATTTTAATGGTTTTATATCATAAATATGATACTCAAATTAAGATTTATCAATTTTGTTAATTACAAAAATCATTATTTATAAAGATATTACCTAATTTAACATTTCATGTAAATAAAGGGAGATAATAAAAATTATTTTCTATAAAGACTAAGTCAAATTTTTCAATAAGAAATGAATGCATATATTTTAATGATTACATAATTATAATATGTACAAATATTTGCAGTACATATTTTACATATTCTTCCATGTTTGAAAATTGTTTTATAAGCATAATTATATACATATATATAATTTCAATTAAGTGTGTTATACAACCTCAATTACAACATACAGGATCTTTAAAACATGTCTGTGATTTGTAAATGTTAATGTTATTATCTTGTTCATCAACTTCAGATTCGTCCTCGTCTGACTCAAGCTCGTCATCAGGTATGTTAAGCTTGGCTTAAGTAAAATATCATTGATGTTATATTGCCAAAAATTATAAAGTAATAATCCTGTAATTAAACTTGCAGAAAAAATACTTTAAGTTAAGGTAAGGATTTCGTTTTTTTCCATAAAAGTTTAAAAATGACTTTTAAAATTATGTTTATGTTTACTTCTTGAGAACGTCTTATTCATCAACGTCAGATTCATCATCGTCCCACTTGCTTGGGTATAATATCACGGATGTCATATGTAATAAATTCTGTTGATATACAGATTCTGTGCCTGTCACAAATTTCTTTCTCTCATAAAATACCTAATTAACGTCTCCCAATTCAGTAAAACTCTATTTCACAGGAAGTTTTTGGTTTTGTGCGAACTTTTATATGAACTTTAATTTCTTCAATATCCTCAACCTGTTTCCCACCCATTGTTACAACACTAGCTTTTAAAATTGCAATAAGTATAAAGCTGTGTTTAGCTGTCTACCTTTAGAAATTTATTGAATAGAGCTATTCAGGCCCATCAACGTCCACTAAATTGTCCAAAGCGTTATTGCACTTTGGTACAATTCACATCACCTCTCAAGCAACCCTAGTATATTGAGAGGTATTATTCATTTAAAAACACACAGTCTGGATACTTTTTAAATACTATTCTTTCATTTTAATTTTTCTACTTAAAATTTTCCGCGACCATTTCCTGCCTGCACCAGTTAAACATTCACTTTGTTGTTACATCAAACTTCGGTTTTAAATTCTATTTGAAGAATAAAAGATAAAACAATTTAAACAATTATTTTTTATGGTGAATCAGATTCATTATCCTCAGACGATATTTCATTAACTTCAGATTCTTCCTCGTCTGACTCCTCCAGCTCATCTTCAGACACAGGTATGTTAAGAAAGACACACGTTACAGATTTTGGATGATTTCATTCCTTACTGTGTATTGTTTTTATTCCTACTGTTTTGCTTCTTAAACTCATGTTTCTTAAAAATATGGCATTGCATAAAGGAAACCATAAGATACAGGGGCAAACATTTAGCTATACAAAATCAAATTTAAACAGAGGTTGTTTGAGCAATTATCCTTTTAGATAAAGTCAAGTTCTTATTAAAAACAGATTCATCAAGCGGTACGAGAGGCTGCAAAAAGGACAGGCACTGCAAAGACCGTTTACGTATATGTGTAAATAGTACATGCGTATGCATTTCAACCCACGTAGATATAAACGGGACTTGCACTCCATGTAAGTATTCTTCTTTTCTCTTATAAATTATCAGAAAACCCAGCTAACTTTCTTCGTTATAGCTTTGGATTATAACTGGTTATAAAGAAGACCATTGTGAAATGTATCAACCGATTATCATATTGTTACAAATTTTGAGAGCAGCAATCATTAATGTTACAGAAGAGATGAATTCATATAAACTCTAGCCCTGCCGCGGACAACAATCTGCATAGTATAATTAAAGCAAAGAAAAGTGTGACTTTGTTCTATAAAATTATCTGTACACTTTTATATGATAGTGAACAAGTACTCTACGTATGAACTGAAAATCGTTGTGACAGTTTTGAAAAAAAGGTAGATAAAATAAAAATAAAATTATCAAGCAAAGAATGAATTTCAACGTTATATGCCCATTAGAAATACATTTAATTTTATAAGTGAACAAGCGGTTATTCCAAGGTTGAAATTTGAAGTGAACACCTTTTATAGATTTTGATAAAAATAACTGTAACAAAGGTTAGGCAAGGCACGTATCTAGGTCAACTCTAGCAAGAGGTAGTTTAAGGACTATTTTCTCTCTTGATATATGTCACATTTTGATTGCAATAATGTGTTTCAGTTGAAAATACATCTATTTAAAGTTAAAGCAATGTAAGTTCATATGTTTTTTGAAAAATAGTTCAAAAGTATTTAGATGCGATAAGGTTGTGTTCAACTGATTGTTCTTTTCATTTAATAAGACATAACTATGTTCATCATAGTATATTTATCTAAATATATTCTAATGTTATCTATGAACTCTTCCATTATCAGTATCCTGTATTGGTGAGGAATGCAACGTAACAGAGCAGTGTAAAGGCGAAAATGTTCGATGTGACGAACAGACTAACACATGTCTGTGCGATGAAGGGTATTTACTAACTCAAAATGGAAAATGTGTAAATTGTTCATCAGGTAAATCAAATTTTATACAGTATCATTTAAACAATAATTAGAATTTTGTTGAAATGAATTTGTTTCGTAGCTATAAATTAATATTAAGGAGTATTTAGATTATTTTCATCCTGTTTATTATTAGAAATAATGTAACTTGATTACTTGTCAGATGCATAATATAAGGAAACAGATATCAATTTCGTTCAAATGCTTTGTAATTAAGCAACCAGGCCTATTTGCCTTCGTGATTAAAGTCCTGCTCATTTGAACTCTAACAGTGCATTATCTTACAAAAATGCAAGAAATAATTATATATCTATTTCCATTCTAAAGAGAAGTGATTATCTCTTTGAAGGTGTAAAGACCGTTACAATATAAAACAAATCATTGTATAATAAAACAGAACGCGCTCTTTATATGGAATAAAAATATCTAGATCGACATTGTTGGAATTTGGTAGAATGATGTCGTACATGTTAAATGTTGCCGTACTACATACATGTATTATACATTTAATTGATTTACAGGGTAAAACACAAATTGTTAAATGATTTTGACCGATATAATTAAATAAAGTCACTTTGAATGAATCATAATGTATTATATGCAAGTCATTTGTCGTCATTGCGTCAATATTTTAAGTTTCAATATCTGTCTTTGCAGTTGATTTCAAAAACTACACACTGCCATGTCCAGGCGCGGAGTTATGCCAAGAAGGATTTGTGCGGATAGGTGATAAATGCTGTAAGTCTAAACATTTATTCTTCTCTGTAGGTTTAACTTCAATTTAACTTCAATGTATGTAGCACCTGAGTCTGTATTTAAATTTGCATGTACCTGGCAACGTTTTTTTTACAGTTTAAAATACCGGTATTAAACTTCCTGATGTGAACAATCTCATTTACACTGCCAAACCTTTGTTCATGTTGTTAGCTTGTAATATCAATAACAGATACTTTTATACAATTAGTTACATTTACAGTTCCTGGCTACTTAGGAAAAACTACATATATATATCCATCGAACTTTCCGTAAACTGTTAGCAATTTACAAACTCTTCTATAACCTCATTATGTATAAGGTAATAAATGGAAAAACAAGGGATACGTCTGAAGTATTCCGCTATATCTAGGAACTGAAAAATTATCTAAATATACAAGCAATTATTAGATCATACTAGTTTACCAACACAAAATATGTAGATGAAAGATAGATATACTGTATTTTATTTAAATGGTAAATTGTTGCAGTAAAGGACACTTTTATTGATTTTGGAAGTAAGGTAATAATTCGCGACTCGTGATGAAATTGATTCATAAAAATATACATTTAGTTTTTCTCATAATTTCTTTTATTTATCTCATCAACACGAACAATAACTATTAACGTGATAAATAAGTATGCATCAAACTATTGACAGAAATAGTTACGTCATCGTTTTTCATATTTGATTAAGTGTCAACATTGACCTATATGTCATTTACTCACATCATTAAGAAATGATGCAATGTTTTCCAATTCATACCATATGAGTTATTGTCCTTCCTTCAATTTTCTATTTCTTATTTTTTTGTTTTCTCAAGTTTGTTCAGAAATAAAGTAAAAGTAAAAAGATCTCAACTTGAAACTATAAAGTACAAAGATGTCGTTGAAGGATACAGATAGTATGTTTTCCATCGGGAAGTTTCAAGTTATGCAAAACATTGCACAAAATTACAAGGTTAATGAACAAATATCCTTAAAATTTGATTGCAGTTGCAATATAGATAGACGCGATTATTTCTGACTCAAATATTATTGAACGTTTGGTATGACCGAGTGAATAATCACTCGGACTAGCGCCGGACTAGTAATCTGATCGCCGGCCGTATGGATGCAGAAATCCGTTGTTTCCTGGAACAAGAAATGTTAAACCATTCGAGAGATTCACCATTCGTTTAAAACTTCCTTGATACTCCAACTTAAATAATTTCTGTATAATTTAACATATAATTCTTCACCTGCCCCCATTTAAGGATACCATTGTACATTGAAGTAGTCACTTTATATGAAAATTGTACGAAATATCGATGCAGAAAATGTTACTTCACAGTTTCAATTTCAAGAATTCCCACTTAACGAATTCAAGTTTCCAACTTTATAAAGTCATGATTTCAATTTTATACATCTACAAACAAGAATACGTGAAACAGACAGCTTGTATTGACGCGCGCGCGCGCTAAAATTTTAGTGGAATTGAAATTGTTTATCGCGATAGATAGAGTCTATGATATTGATTCTAAATACATGAATGTCCGATATTGTTACAATTTTAAACGTTGAATTCGTGGATAAGTTGTAGTTGAAACATCTTGAATATTGCATCTCAATCAAAGAATAACTATATAAACATAATGTAACCTCTCCACTCTCTCCTCCGCTCTCCTTCAGTACAAATATAAAACAAATTGGGGTGACCTCCTCAAAATTATTTAGAAATATGAAAAAATAAACACAAAAATCTCTCGATCTCCCCGAAACGGCTATTAAGGAAAGCATGTAACATATCGTAAAAAAGAAAAAATTTAAACGATGTCCAAGGCATAATGACGAATCTGATAAAAAAACTCGTATAAATGCCGCCTTAAACACGCATAAAAATTTCTATGTAATCATTTTATTACGATTTCTAACGAAAAATATCAGATATTGCACCAGCCAAACATTTTAAGTAAAAACATCACGAGGAAAATAAAAAAAATAAAACCTTCAGCAACATGAACCCTATCTTGAGCATATTATGACGTATTTGTATATCCAGTGAAATATCTAAAGATAAAACAAATTTTAGAAGTTTACTTGATAAATCTAAAAATATATTTGTCAACCAAAATCATGATTTAATTATGCAATTCGTTTATTCAAACAAAAACATTACATAAAATCTGCAATTTGTTTAGATGGAACCAGGGTGACTGAAAAGTGTACGATACATTAGATAGAGATATCAGAGATATATAGACATTGTAATGGAACCGAGTCTGCGTATTGCTCTCAAATGGCTATTATTGGCTCTATCTCATGTGTATTTTTATATTTTTGTGTAATATGTAATGAATATTAAAAGAGAGAAAGCTAAGATTAATCAGTGCTGTGTAATACGTACTATCAATTTCTAGTTTTAAAATCCCTCACTTAATATCGAGCGGAATATTCCATTAAAAAAGTTGCTTAGCTCCCATCATTTGTTTTCTACGTTTTAACAGTTGGGTCAGAATTATGTGAACAGTGCGGATACTCTCCTGATTCATGTGCACCCGATTTAGTGTGTGGTGCTGAATCCGGCAGATGTGAATGTCCACCTGACTCTCTCTCACAGATTTACGAATAGAGAGGAGATTGCTGTACTCTCTATACGTATACAAATTAACCTGTCCTCCTGTAACCATGCGAGCGTGTGGAGAGCGCGAGATCCGCTGCAAAATTAGATATATAATTATGTTCACCTTAAGCCTTCCTTTAAATAGGATTGGATCTGTATACTCTTTTTTTTTGTAAATTATCAGATCAAAGTTTGTCATAGTTGTGTAAGACGTCATTTCATTTCCTCAGAACCTATGTTTAGAGTGAGATTTATATTAACATCATTTTCTTCACATACTACAGATGGAAGAAAAGTCACAGAAAAGTGCACGACTGCATTGAATACATGTATAGATTGCCATGCATCTTGCAACGGAACAGTTTGCGATTGTGTTGATGGTTATTATTGGAACGGAACTCATTGCGGTATTCTGATCTTCATTTTATATTTGCAGTCTCATTATATCTTGTTGCGAAAAAATTAACAACCTATGGTTTATTTGTCCCACTCTAACATTAAGGCTTTTACAAGAGTAAGATGTTTAAATTCAACTGCTGGGGATATATCATGTAATAGTTAGGTCAAATGTTTAAACTTGTGATGGTAACTTTATCCAATACAGCTATATAACGTTTAATTGCTGGTAATTAATATTTTTGTAATACGTTTAAACAGTTGGGTCTGAATTGTGTGAAGAATGCAGTTATTCTCCTGACTCATGTGCACCCGACTTAGTGTGTGGCGCTGACTCCGGCAGATGTGAATGTCCACCTAATCTTCCTATACAGTACGATGGAGATTGCTGTAAGTAATTCCATACGTATTACATAAGGCCATAACTTTACCATGCAGCAACAATATGAACAGCATTCGCTGCCAAAATAGATATATATGTTCACATGAATCCTTCTCTTAAATAGGTTTGGATCTGTATTCTCTTTTTGTAAATTATCAGATCAAAGTTAGTCATAGTTGTGTAAGACGTCATTTCATTTTCTCAAAACCTATGTTTAAAGTGAAATCTTATATTAATATCATTTTCTTCACATACTACAGATGGAAGAAAAGTCACAGAAAAGTGCACGACTGCATTGAATACATGTATAGATTGCCATGCATCTTGCAACGGAACAGTTTGCGATTGTGATGATGGTTATTATTGGAACGGAACTCATTGCGGTATTCTGATTTGCAGTCTCATTATATCTTCTTGCGAAAAAATTAACAACCTATGGTTTATTTGTCCCACTCTAACATTAAGGCTTTTACAAGAGTAAGATGTTTAAATTCAACTGCTGGGGATATATCATGTAATAGTTAGGTCAAATGTTTAAACTTGTGATGGTAACTTTATCCAATACAGCTATATAACGTTTAATTGCTGGTAATTAATATTTTTGTAATACGTTTAAACAGTTGGGTCTGAATTGTGTGAAGAATGCAGTTATTCTCCTGACTCATGTGCACCCGACTTAGTGTGTGGCGCTGACTCCGGCAGATGTGAATGTCCACCTAATCTTCCTATACAGTACGATGGAGATTGCTGTAAGTAATTCCATACGTATTACATAAGGCCATAACTTTACCATGCAGCAACAATATGAACAGCATTCGCTGCCAAAATAGATATATATGTTCACATGAATCCTTCTCTTAAATAGGTTTGGATCTGTATTCTCTTTTTGTAAATTATCAGATCAAAGTTAGTCATAGTTGTGTAAGACGTCATTTCATTTTCTCAAAACCTATGTTTAAAGTGAAATCTTATATTAATATCATTTTCTTCACATACTACAGATGGAAGAAAAGTCACAGAAAAGTGCACGACTGCATTGAATACATGTATAGATTGCCATGCATCTTGCAACGGAACAGTTTGCGATTGTGATGATGGTTATTATTGGAACGGAACTCATTGCGGTATTCTGATTTGCAGTCTCATTATATCTTCTTGCGAAAAAATTAACAACCTATGGTTTATTTGTCCCACTCTAACATTAAGGCTTTTACAAGAGTAAGATGTTTAAATTCAACTGCTGGGGATATATCATGTAATAGTTAGGTCAAATGTTTAAACTTGTGATGGTAACTTTATCCAATACAGCTATATAACGTTTAATTGCTGGTAATTAATATTTTTGTAATACGTTTAAACAGTTGGGTCTGAATTGTGTGAAGAATGCAGTTATTCTCCTGACTCATGTGCACCCGACTTAGTGTGTGGCGCTGACTCCGGCAGATGTGAATGTCCACCTAATCTTCCTATACAGTACGATGGAGATTGCTGTAAGTAATTCCATACGTATTACATAAGGCCATAACTTTACCATGCAGCAACAATATGAACAGCATTCGCTGCCAAAATAGATATATATATGTTCACATGAATCCTTCTCTTAAATAGGTTTGGATCTGTATTCTCTTTTTGTAAATTATCAGATCAAAGTTAGTCATAGTTGTGTAAGACGTCATTTCATTTTCTCAAAACCTATGTTTAAAGTGAAATCTTATATTAATATCATTTTCTTCACATACTACAGATGGAAGAAAAGTCACAGAAAAGTGCACGACTGCATTGAATACATGTATAGATTGCCATGCATCTTGCAACGGAACAGTTTGCGATTGTGATGATGGTTATTATTGGAACGGAACTCATTGCGGTATTCTGATTTGCAGTCTCATTATATCTTCTTGCGAAAAAATTAACAACCTATGGTTTATTTGTCCCACTCTAACATTAAGGCTTTTACAAGAGTAAGATGTTTAAATTCAACTGCTGGGGATATATCATGTAATAGTTAGGTCAAATGTTTAAACTTGTGATGGTAACTTTATCCAATACAGCTATATAACGTTTAATTGCTGGTAATTAATATTTTTGTAATACGTTTAAACAGTTGGGTCTGAATTGTGTGAAGAATGCAGTTATTCTCCTGACTCATGTGCACCCGACTTAGTGTGTGGCGCTGACTCCGGCAGATGTGAATGTCCACCTAATCTTCCTATACAGTACGATGGAGATTGCTGTAAGTAATTCCATACGTATTACATAAGGCCATAACTTTACCATGCAGCAACAATATGAACAGCATTCGCTGCCAAAATAGATATATATGTTCACATGAATCCTTCTCTTAAATAGGTTTGGATCTGTATTCTCTTTTTGTAAATTATCAGATCAAAGTTAGTCATAGTTGTGTAAGACGTCATTTCATTTTCTCAAAACCTATGTTTAAAGTGAAATCTTATATTAATATCATTTTCTTCACATACTACAGATGGAAGAAAAGTCACAGAAAAGTGCACGACTGCATTGAATACATGTATAGATTGCCATGCATCTTGCAACGGAACAGTTTGCGATTGTGATGATGGTTATTATTGGAACGGAACTCATTGCGGTATTCTGATTTGCAGTCTCATTATATCTTCTTGCGAAAAAATTAACAACCTATGGTTTATTTGTCCCACTCTAACATTAAGGCTTTTACAAGAGTAAGATGTTTAAATTCAACTGCTGGGGATATATCATGTAATAGTTAGGTCAAATGTTTAAACTTGTGATGGTAACTTTATCCAATACAGCTATATAACGTTTAATTGCTGGTAATTAATATTTTTGTAATACGTTTAAACAGTTGGGTCTGAATTGTGTGAAGAATGCAGTTATTCTCCTGACTCATGTGCACCCGACTTAGTGTGTGGCGCTGACTCCGGCAGATGTGAATGTCCACCTAATCTTCCTATACAGTACGATGGAGATTGCTGTAAGTAATTCCATACGTATTACATAAGGCCATAACTTTACCATGCAGCAACAATATGAACAGCATTCGCTGCCAAAATAGATATATATGTTCACATGAATCCTTCTCTTAAATAGGTTTGGATCTGTATTCTCTTTTTGTAAATTATCAGATCAAAGTTAGTCATAGTTGTGTAAGACGTCATTTCATTTTCTCAAAACCTATGTTTAAAGTGAAATCTTATATTAATATCATTTTCTTCACATACTACAGATGGAAGAAAAGTCACAGAAAAGTGCACGACTGCATTGAATACATGTATAGATTGCCATGCATCTTGCAACGGAACAGTTTGCGATTGTGATGATGGTTATTATTGGAACGGAACTCATTGCGGTATTCTGATTTGCAGTCTCATTATATCTTCTTGCGAAAAAATTAACAACCTATGGTTTATTTGTCCCACTCTAACATTAAGGCTTTTACAAGAGTAAGATGTTTAAATTCAACTGCTGGGGATATATCATGTAATAGTTAGGTCAAATGTTTAAACTTGTGATGGTAACTTTATCCAATACAGCTATATAACGTTTAATTGCTGGTAATTAATATTTTTGTAATACGTTTAAACAGTTGGGTCTGAATTGTGTGAAGAATGCAGTTATTCTCCTGACTCATGTGCACCCGACTTAGTGTGTGGCGCTGACTCCGGCAGATGTGAATGTCCACCTAATCTTCCTATACAGTACGATGGAGATTGCTGTAAGTAATTCCATACGTATTACATAAGGCCATAACTTTACCATGCAGCAACAATATGAACAGCATTCGCTGCCAAAATAGATATATATGTTCACATGAATCCTTCTCTTAAATAGGTTTGGATCTGTATTCTCTTTTTGTAAATTATCAGATCAAAGTTAGTCATAGTTGTGTAAGACGTCATTTCATTTTCTCAAAACCTATGTTTAAAGTGAAATCTTATATTAATATCATTTTCTTCACATACTACAGATGGAAGAAAAGTCACAGAAAAGTGCACGACTGCATTGAATACATGTATAGATTGCCATGCATCTTGCAACGGAACAGTTTGCGATTGTGATGATGGTTATTATTGGAACGGAACTCATTGCGGTATTCTGATTTGCAGTCTCATTATATCTTCTTGCGAAAAAATTAACAACCTATGGTTTATTTGTCCCACTCTAACATTAAGGCTTTTACAAGAGTAAGATGTTTAAATTCAACTGCTGGGGATATATCATGTAATAGTTAGGTCAAATGTTTAAACTTGTGATGGTAACTTTATCCAATACAGCTATATAACGTTTAATTGCTGGTAATTAATATTTTTGTAATACGTTTAAACAGTTGGGTCTGAATTGTGTGAAGAATGCAGTTATTCTCCTGACTCATGTGCACCCGACTTAGTGTGTGGCGCTGACTCCGGCAGATGTGAATGTCCACCTGATCTTCCTATACAGTACGATGGAGATTGCTGTAAGTAATTTCATACGTATAAAACAAGGCAATTACTTAACCATGCATTAACAATATGAACAGCAATCGCTGCCAAAATAGATATATATGTTCACATTAATCCTTCTCTTAAATAGGTTTGGATCTGTATTCTCTTTTTGTAAATTATCAGATCAAAGTTAGTCATAGTTGTGTAAGACGTCATTTCATTTTCTCAAAACCTATGTTTAAAGTGAAATCTTATATTAATATCATTTTCTTCACATACTACAGATGGAAGAAGAGTCACAGAAAAGTGCACGACTGCATTGAATACATGTATAGATTGCCATGCATCTTGCAACGGAACAGTTTGCGATTGTGATGATGGTTATTATTGGAACGGAACTCATTGCGGTATTCTGATTTGCAGTCTCATTATATCTTCTTGCGAAAAAATTAACAACCTATGGTTTATTTGTCCCACTCTAACATTAAGGCTTTTACAAGAGTAAGATGTTTAAATTCAACTGCTGGGGATATATCATGTAATAGTTAGGTCAAATGTTTAAACTTGTGATGGTAACTTTATCCAATACAGCTATATAACGTTTAATTGCTGGTAATTAATATTTTTGTAATACGTTTAAACAGTTGGGTCTGAATTGTGTGAAGAATGCAGTTATTCTCCTGACTCATGTGCACCCGACTTAGTGTGTGGCGCTGACTCCGGCAGATGTGAATGTCCACCTAATCTTCCTATACAGTACGATGGAGATTGCTGTAAGTAATTCCATACGTATTACATAAGGCCATAACTTTACCATGCAGCAACAATATGAACAGCATTCGCTGCCAAAATAGATATATATGTTCACATGAATCCTTCTCTTAAATAGGTTTGGATCTGTATTCTCTTTTTGTAAATTATCAGATCAAAGTTAGTCATAGTTGTGTAAGACGTCATTTCATTTTCTCAAAACCTATGTTTAAAGTGAAATCTTATATTAATATCATTTTCTTCACATACTACAGATGGAAGAAAAGTCACAGAAAAGTGCACGACTGCATTGAATACATGTATAGATTGCCATGCATCTTGCAACGGAACAGTTTGCGATTGTGATGATGGTTATTATTGGAACGGAACTCATTGCGGTATTCTGATTTGCAGTCTCATTATATCTTCTTGCGAAAAAATTAACAACCTATGGTTTATTTGTCCCACTCTAACATTAAGGCTTTTACAAGAGTAAGATGTTTAAATTCAACTGCTGGGGATATATCATGTAATAGTTAGGTCAAATGTTTAAACTTGTGATGGTAACTTTATCCAATACAGCTATATAACGTTTAATTGCTGGTAATTAATATTTTTGTAATACGTTTAAACAGTTGGGTCTGAATTGTGTGAAGAATGCAGTTATTCTCCTGACTCATGTGCACCCGACTTAGTGTGTGGCGCTGACTCCGGCAGATGTGAATGTCCACCTAATCTTCCTATACAGTACGATGGAGATTGCTGTAAGTAATTCCATACGTATTACATAAGGCCATAACTTTACCATGCAGCAACAATATGAACAGCATTCGCTGCCAAAATAGATATATATGTTCACATGAATCCTTCTCTTAAATAGGTTTGGATCTGTATTCTCTTTTTGTAAATTATCAGATCAAAGTTAGTCATAGTTGTGTAAGACGTCATTTCATTTTCTCAAAACCTATGTTTAAAGTGAAATCTTATATTAATATCATTTTCTTCACATACTACAGATGGAAGAAGAGTCACAGAAAAGTGCACGACTGCATTGAATACATGTATAGATTGCCATGCATCTTGCAACGGAACAGTTTGCGATTGTGATGATGGTTATTATTGGAACGGAACTCTTTGCGGTATTGTGATATCTTATGTTTTACAAGAGTAAGATGTTTAAATTCAACTGCTGGGGATATATCATGTAATAGTTAGGTCAAATGTTTAAACTTGGAACGGAACTCTTTGCGGTATTGTGATATCTTATGTTCATCTATTTATAAACTGATGCGCGATAGACCTTAGATCAAATAATGATCATATGAAGCCGTTGTATAGTACCACGTAGTCCTGGTAAACATATTTCATAAACTAAACAACGTTGTATTATTTGTGATAATACTTACTTTGTGAAATTCTATAGATTGGCTTTTCCCCTAGGGCAAGTATTTCATTTTTGGCTTTTGCATGTATAGCCCGCCTACAAAGTGTTGGTACAGTATCATAATTGCATAGCCATTTTATGATTTAATTCTTATGTATTGCAGAATTTCTTTGTTGCATATCAATGTCGTTTTCCCTATTCCAACACCCTTTTCTGTTTATGGTGTTCAGAAAATGGCAATATATCCGTTAAACAGAAACTATTGTGTTAGCTGAAACTTACTACCTAATTTATAAAACTAAGGAAAATTTATCTTTCCTAATTCAATCATTTATTTGCAACAAAAAAATAGTTAATGGCTTTAAATTATCTTTTTTTTACTTTGATCAATTAAGTATTTCATTTCACAGTTGGCCAGCTTATTGACGAAATATGTGACAACTCACCTAACTCATGCAGTGCAAATGGTCTTGTTTGTGGTGATACTTGGAGGTGTGAATGTCCTCCAAATGAAGTTCAAATTAACAATTTGTGCTGTAAGCAAGATTTGTACTATTAGAAATTATGAGTATGCATTCTATTACACTTCAAGGTGATTAAGACGTTAAAGAAGTTGCCTTCATTCAATCGTTAAATTTTACTTTTACCTTTGATCTATTCTTTACACTAAATCTTTTTACTTTAAACATATCAAGCGATGGTTTTCTCTTATTGTTAACACATTTTTGCTAAATTTAAGTTTCCCTTCTTTGTGAATCGTGTACTGTGGATGGAGATTGCTTAGGAAAATACCAGCTCTGTATCGATAATATTTGTCAGTGTGATAACACAACATACTATACCGACTCATGTGGGTTGTGCAAATTAAGTGAGTTAATTAATTAATTATTAATTAATTGATTTATTCATTATTTATTTATATTCTTTCTTCCTTTCATTTTCATTCTTTAGTTATTATTATAATGTATATATAGATGTATAAGCTATGGATGCGAGGTATGGTGTTTCATGGCAGCAAAAAAGAAAGAAAATTTTTTTAGTACATTTTAAATTTTGCAAACATTTATTAGGAGTAAAGCCACAAACTCAAAATAACTTTATGTATGGAGAATTATGCAGGGAACAATTAATACAGCTAAGAAGATACGAATCTTAAAATTTTGGTTTAAAATATTGAAATCGGAACAACATTTGCTTATTCAATTAAACATTTACTTCAGAGACTAGGGTTTTATCATGTCTGGGTTAATCAGGGAGTGGGAAATGAAATTTTATTTTTGAATTCTGGAAAACAGAGACTTAAAGAATTAAGATAGCTACATACAAAACTGGACATAATCTGTACGCAATTCATCAAAAAATTCCCTTTACATTTTTTTCCACACTTTAATTTTAAATTGCATCTTGAACAAATTAACATTCAGAAATTAGGAATAGCACTTACAAGATTTAGAGTTTCGGCACACACTTCTTTACTAATCGAAACAGGGAGATGACATAAACCAAACAAAGAAACGACAGATTATGTAAAATATATAACAAACTCAAGGATGAATACCATTCATTATTAGAATGTACTTTATATTGTGAAATAAGAACTGAGTATTACCAAAGTACTACTGGAAAAGACCAATCAAACCTAAACTTATCGAATTAATGTTAAAATAATCGACTACTATGATTAGAAAACACTCCACTATTATTTATAAAGATTTTGAAATCCGTCTCTGATTTACTTTTTAAAAAAGTATTTTCATTTACACTTTTCTCCTGCAACGTCATTTTTACAAGGATGCATTTATAACTTATTTTGTTTCATCATTCAATACTTCAAAATATACATTTTATATGTAAGTGTAATGCACATGCGTATTGGATCATAAGTTCAGGTTAAGAAGAAATATATATTCAGAGTTTAACTGAAAATCGGATTTTTTGCACGATTTTAGCCACGTTTAGGTGAAAAACGTTGCAACACTATTCATCTTTGGCCATTTTGCACCATAAATATGAGTAGTCATGGAAAACGGAATGAGGGAATTATTTGAATTTTTGCACATAAGTTAGTAGTCGAGAGCTACAATAAATGATGCTCAAGCCACAAAAACATATTTCCTGTGCCTTCATGTAAAAAACTCTTTAATACATGAGAAAAAAGGGGCGTCCGTGGCCGAGTGGTTAATGTCGTTGACTTCAAACCACTTGCCCCTCACCGCTGTGGGATCGAATCCCGACAGGGACTTTGTATTCTTTCATGTGAGGAAGCTATCCAGCTAGCTTACGGAACGTCGGTGGTTCTACTTAGGTGCCCGTTCGTGTCTGAAATAATGCACGGAGGGGCATCTGAGGTCTTCTCCCACCAGTAAAGCTGAAACATCGCCACATGACCTATACTGTCGGTGTGACCCCAATCAAAACAAAACAAGAACAGGAAGAAAAAATGCATTAGCGATTTAATTCTTTGATTTGTTCCGTTATTTGTTTTTAGTATAAAAACTGGTTTGTTAATTGTTAAACGCGCATGTGTGATTAATTTTACAGTGAAATGACCAAGATTGTCAACTATATTACATAACACCCTGAGTCACACATATCTAAGGGTTTGCGTGATTTCCTAAGATGCATGTTTTCTTCTCCGTCACAACTGCTTGTGCAGTTTTGATGCAAAAGTCTATTATCTGACCCCTTACTAATTAGAATTCCTTGCAGAAAACACAGCGATTTAAAAACACATTATTCAAAATTAATGCTTTTATCTTTATTTCTCAAAAGCTTTTTTTATATATGTTGTCTTGTTATAGTTTCCAGGCCAACTACCTGTTGCTACAGATATATAGTTTTGCAACTTTTATGACAAATAATTACACATTCAGTACTCCTTTCTTTAGGTTATAAACATCTAGCATGCTCTAAAACCATTGAACTTAAAAGAACATATTTATTCTTTTCTGGGGCATTTTGTGTCTTTTAACAGTCTCTGGCAAAAATTCAAAAATACGTTGTTGAGTAAGGGGCCTCAACTCATCAAAATCTTAATTTCACATTTTGCCAAACAAATTGTATACAAAAAAGGAGAATGCCATGTAACAATAAAAACATAGCAATTTTACATTAAACAAGTTTTTATTGTGTTAAATGGAACAAAGAACTTCAGAACAATAACTTTGTAATTGCTACCAAATGTATAATTTAAAATTTCACCATCTTACTCTTATTTATTAAGTTTACACTTTGTCATCGGCCATAAAACTTGTAAATCCCTTTTTTATCTCAGAGTGTTTGACATTTAAAAACCCAGTAGTAGATAATTTATCGAAGTAGCCGATATAATGACTGTCACGGTAATTAAGAAACAGGAAAAACAGAAACTTCTATTGCAAATACAATTTGAACACAAAGCAAGAGTATTATATAAGACCATTCACTAACTTGTTAACCATATTATATGAAATACGCTAATAATGAATTATATGTATATGTATATGTATCTTATTTCTCAGAGGTGACTGATTATAGTGATTGCAGTTGCGACGAGGAATGTCTTTCCAACACTTGTCTATGTGACCTTTGCGTCCCGGAGAATACTGATGACTGTTGTGATGGTAGGTCGATCCATTAAATTGGGTTTTAGACATTTAATTGATATCTTTCTTATAAAAGTTGTAAAATATATGTTTATGATGACTTTTAATTGCTTTATATTATATAATAAAGAATAGAGAGTGTAATTAAATTTGCATTAGGCAATGCTGAACAACAAGTTCTGGGAATAGTTATCTGAAAATGTTGTTTTTACATTTTTCTCTTGTTTTCCATCTTGTTATATCATTGTAAAAATGTTCTAGTTCAATAAAAATTATTTTATTTTTACCTGGGATATACGCCATATTTCTTGGAATGTTGCTTGGTCATTGCCGGAAAAAATACATCTGCTTACGTGTGTAATATGTTATGTGAACTGTTAACTTTATGAATATGTATATGCTGACTGTACCATAACTGGGTTCTAGGGGCTGTCCATTATGATAAACAATTTTTAATCAACAGAAGGGAACTCTCTTGAGAGAAATAACAAAACATACATCAATATGTGAAAAATCTTAGAAATTGCATGACTGAGTCCATTCGTAAGTAACCATAAGCGCAGCTTAAAAAATATTTGATCTTAATGATGACTTAAAACCATGAAATCAATGATCATAAAGGACCAGACAAACTGTAACACCTTCATTGAAATACAAACCACCTATAGTTGTTACTATGAAAATGCTTGCGAATGACAGAATACAGTTAGCAGTGTTTTTAAAATGAGTTTTAATTTTAAAAGACTAAGAATAAGACTTGGATGAGACGGAGGTAGAAAAAGGCCTAAATGTCATATCAAGTAAACGATTTACTCTTCTTTCTCGGTATAACTTAAAAATTGAAGCCTTCACTTTACGTTTCACTACTTTATAAAAATGCAGTAATTATTGTGTTTTGTAAATTTTAGATTGCACAAGTACAATAGCTGACATTATTTTTGTAACGGATGCCTCTGGATCAGTCGGTTCATCTAATTACCAGACGCTCAAAGCTTTTGTTATAACATTAGTCAACGAGTTCACGATTGGAACAGATGATACAAGAGTTGGTATTGTCGATTATGCAACGGGTATCAACGAAGGCAATACCTTTAATCTAGACACAGCTGCCTACGATAATAACTTAGAAATAACCGAGGAAGTATGCGGTTTTCCGTAAGTGGCCATTGAATAACTCAAATAGAATAACCAATGAATTTAATTTAGATTCGCCAAATACATGAATGGCAACTAATAACATCATTTAATGAGGTGCAGATTAAATAATACATCTGATTATAACACTTGTCAAAAATGCCTAATAATCGCAAGAAAAACACTTCCGACTCATTACTTTTATTCGAAATTCTTTAAACGTCATGCTTTGACATTTATGAGTTATTTACCCTTCCTTTCGAAAATCTTTCTTAAAGGGCAGATAATTTAAGTCTGACAATCCTTATTTACATTATGTGTATATTTTAAACTGTATCATTTGTCATAATTCAAAATTGTGCTCCCGTTTAAAGTTTAAGAAAAGACACTGAAAAAAAAAAAAAAAAAAAAAACAAAAAAAAAAAAACAAAAACAGATTGCGTTTTAAGACAAAAATGGCATAGGTTTAAGTAAAAAGGAAAAAACTGCTCTTTACAGATTTTTAAAATGTTGCACAATCACTCGCAAGGACGTCAGTTTCATGAAAGCAGACGTACTTTCTTAGTTTTGATTATGAATTATATATCCTTATTATATATCCGTTGAACTTAGGAAAAGTTTGCAAACTCCCTCTCAGTCCTACGCATAAACCCAAGATTTCCAGTTTTCCCCCAAAATTTCCTATCTCTGGCCAGTGATGAGCATTTAATTATAATAACATGGCTTGTCACAGTATCACTGATAGCAGCACCCTAGAATGTTTTATGATCCTATCATGTTTCAAGAATGTATAGTTTAAGCTGGAGGATATAGAGAACATTTTAGATGTTAACGAAAAACTACGATTTAACTTTTTAGTGTAAAGAGATACATACAATTTTTAATAATAGTTTAAGACAAAAAAAATTGGATTACATTAAAAAAGGTTTTTAATCACTTACAACTCACAATGAAAATACCTGTGTAAATTACTTTCATATATTAAAGGCATATCATACCTCAGTGATTTACATTACTTTTCTTTTTTCAGGAGCAAAATAATGTTTAGTAATAATAATAATTGATTCAAAGCATTATTGAAGCTTATCATTCAATCTAGTAGGAAAAGAGATGAATTAAAGGTACCAAAACTATACATGTACAAGCAAAAAGTAAATAGCCTAAAGTTTTTAAAGAAAAATTCTAAGTTCAAAGAGGAAATATCATTTGAAATAAGGATGCTAGAGTTATAAACCTTGTCGTGCATGATGTAAGTAATGACAAAGGACAATTATCTTAAGTCTAGAGTTGATGTCATTTATAATAATAAAGATAAATCTTAGAAATATATTAATTTTCAATAAACCCATAGTTCAAAAATGAAATGGAGATAATTCTAGAAATACAGGACTTGAGTTATAAATCTAATCGCACCTGATATAGGTGTTAATAAGAAACATTTTTATGCCCGCCGAAGGGAGGCATATTAAAATCGCTACGTCCCTCTGTCTATCTGGACGTCCGTCTGTCTGTGTGTCCCCACTTCATTCCTGTCCGGACCTTAACTTTGTCATGCATGGAATGATATTAAACTAACTAGACACATCAAGACGACGTGTCGCGTCCAAGAATTACGTCCCTACCTCAGAGGTCAAGGTCACACTAACATTTTGAAGTTTCACTTTATCACAATAAAAGTTTATAGGTTCACACATTTGTGTCCGGAATGTAACTTTGTCATGCATGGAAGAATTTTAGAATAACTTGGCATAAATATCTACCACATCAAGACGATGTGTTGCGTCCACTTATCACGCCCCTACCTCAAAGGCCAAGGTCACACTACCATTTTGAATTTCACTATATAAAAATTAGAGTTTATAGTTACACACATTCGTGTCCAGACTGTCATGCATCGAAGGATTACAAAATAACCAGGCATAAATATCTTCCACATCAAGACGACATGTCGCGACTAAGACCCCTATCCCTACCTTCAAGGTCAAGGTCATACTTATAGTTTGAAGGTATTCATTCTCTCGAGAAGAGTTTGAAGATACACATAAATGTCTGGTCTATTAATTTGTCATGCATGAAAAGATTTTATAATAACTTGGCACAAATGTCTACCACATCTGGAGAATGTATCGCAGCTAAGGCAGGCTCATGTCCGTCTGTCCGTCCGTGTGTCCCCACTTACACAACAATCATGTCCTGTATGTAACTTTAAATGTCATGCATTGAGGGATTTTGAAATAAATTGGCACAAATGTCTATCTCATGACAACATTCTGTTGTGTCCAGGAACCACGTTCCTTCTTCAAAGGTCAAGGTCCGATTATATTTTAAAGGTTCACGCTCTCACAATTAGAGATTATAGGTACAATAATACAAAGAAAAATATTAAGCAATTAGTTTCTTTCATCCTCTTTTCTTTTCATACTACCAGTCCTGCATGCTTAAGAAACCTTTTCGGGGGCCAGTGATTTTTTATTACTTAATTGGGAAGAGGCCTTAGCCTCTTGATTTTTTGGGAAAAATTATCTCTAAAATTGCTGATTTGGGAAGTAAAAAAGCTGGTTTAAGTTCATATTTTTGGGAAAACTGCATGATTTTAAAGAAAATTTCAATTGGGAAGAGTCCTTTTCTCGGAGTCTGTTATATAAGTAGAAAAATCACTGGGTCATTTGTCACTTGTGTGACAGCTCTTGTTGAAGTCTGAATTTAATAAGGAAAATTCTAAGTATAAAGGGATAATGATTCTGAAAATATTGATGCTAGAGTTATGAAGCTTAACATGTTATTGTTTAAAGTTATAAAATATCAATTTTTATTTTAAAAAAAGTTTAATGGGGGAAATAATCCTGGAAATATTCATGTCACACATGATAAGGAAATACATTTGAAGTTAGAAGTAGATACCGTAAGAAATAAAAAAGAAAGTAAAAAGTTTTTGGTTTTTGTTTTTTAGCGGGCCGGGAGGGGGGTTCAGTCAGTAACATGTGTAACAGTGACACTTAACTATTGAACTTTATTTATTATTAATTTAAAAAATTATCGTATGTTATAAAGTATATTTACAAATAATTGCTAAGTTTCACAATTCAATTGGGCCACAGACTCATATACAAAAGAAAGGAGAAAAAAACATTGATAAATTTAAAATGAGTGTATCTTCTACAGAAATTTGATCCTTCAACGTTGGGGCTATTAGATAAGAATACAGAGGAGCAATTAATAATGACAAAACTCTCAACTCAGTGGACGTGTTAATGGGAGACATACAGTTAATAGTGATTTACTAGCTGATAAGCCCTTACTGAGATTCAGCAGGCTGGAAGGGTTTATGCGTAGAACTGCTCTGCAGCACTTACTGTTCTGCCATTATATACTATGATATCAAGCTTGAATAAATTCTACGGTTTCATTCTGTCACACCTATAATTTATACGTTAACTGTCCTTGTAAATACAAACCGATATGTAATATCGAGTTGTACATATAATAAGTCAAACTTCTTACTAAATACAAACCTACTGGTGGCATTTTTACATAACCTAACAAATAAGTCTTAATTATAAGTGTATTGTTATCTTTTCCAGCTATTCTGGAGGTTTTACACGAACAGACCTCGCACTTGATCGGGCTTTGGCTTATTTTACTTCCGCACAAGATAGACCATTAATCCCAGATTTTGCTATTGTTTTTACTGACGGAGTAACTAATAACGGGGGAGAAGATGAATTAGAAAATTCTGTACAGGCATTAAAGGACGAAGGAGTAACGGTAATAAGTTCTTGCTTTCAATAGTTTACAACAAGTTGTATCACTATTTTAAAGCCATAAAATCATACACAGGTAGATACCAGTATGTATAGCAGAAGGTGTCAAGTGTTGTGTGGCAGCCGAAAAGAATTGTTCCGTACTTCACTTCAATGTTGTAATATTATTTCTGGTCCTTCGGGATTATTGATTCTGTACTAGTACTCTACTTTCAAGCCTGCACTAGTGGACGTGAGGTATGTGGCACGTTTTCAATATCCTTCAAGTACATACTCAATCAAACCGAGTCTGCAATTTTCATATAATTTTTTTTTAATGTTTCCGAGGGATCACATTTTTCCGGATATTTATAAAAAAGTATTGTATAATGTGGTAAATAAATAGAGGAAATGTCATCGGAAGTGAAAAGTAACTCAGTGTGACGATATATTCTTCAGATTTTCGTAGTTGGTATTGGCAGCGGTATTGAACTTACTGAACTTCAACTCATTGCTTCCTCCGATGAATACGTGTTTCAAGCTACGTTCGATGCATTGAATACGATTACAGATGAGCTGTTGACTATCATATGTTGTAAGTACTTATCAATATGTAGTTATATTGATTTGTGACAAAAGTTCTAATGTCGCAGATGTATTAAATTAACACACTCTCTCTCTCTCTCTCTCTCTCTCCCCCTCTCTCTCTCTGAACTCTCTCTCTCTCTCTCTCCCCCTCTCTCTCTCTCTCAAAATATACCGGGGTAAGTCTTTAATACCTCGCTACAAACAAAACTATTTATTGATGTTATTCAAAAGTACCTTACTGTTTAATTTCTTCCATTCATTTGCAAGCGTCATCTTAAAAGTGTTTAAAGCTATATATATATGCTACAAAAAATGAATAGTTATGTCTTCTAAAATATCTGTATAAATATATGTTTGTATAATTTCTCTGCATTGGATGGCACATGCAGGAAATTTGTGCTAAAAAGCAACTCCCTTCATAATATTTTATTCCGAAACAGTTTATGATATTTACGTACAATGTACGTGTGTAATAAATAAGAGAGACATTTTATGTTACAATTTGCTTTAAGAGATCTACAATAATGTCATGGGAATAACATAACTTTGCTGTTTATAACGTGAACACAAATATTTTGTAAGATATAGCTTTAAACACTTTAAAATGTTTTATAGATACTTCTAATAAAATGGCAACTACATTATGAAATCACATGGATAATGGTAAACGCATCAATGCATCAATGTATAGCAGTAAATGCAATATCAATAACTTTTCACTTTCAATTTCTTAATATTTCTGTAAGAAATTTTGACCTTGTACAATTAATTCTTCGTTTATTAGCAAATTCAGACTAACAAAATACCTTTAGCTATATACAAAACACGACCATTACAACACATATAGAGGAAAGGCACATACTACATTACACACAGTTCATAATGTAAAGCACAAACTTTTCAGTACATGCAATTTGTATTGTAATAACCTAAGCACCAATCCTTTAAGGGTTATATTTCGTAACTTAAATCGCCTCATCTACGAATTTGGTAATTCTAAACAATAGTCTTTTTGTTCACAATTACTGCAAGTTAGGCCAAATAATGTTCTCAAGATACTTCTTACGAATATCCCTATATATAGCACAGCACAAAGGAAATGATACTCTGATTCAGTTACATTCAAATCACATGATTTACAAATTCGATGTTCTATTTCGATGCAAGTAAATCGTCCACCTTCAATTTCCAGGTCATGCGCTGATAATCAAAATTTAATATACCCGGTACTGCATTTACATTTTTATTTGACAATAAATCTAAGTATGGTGCAAATCTAAGATATAGTTTAAAATGTTTACAGAAGCTAAGTTTTGACAAGTTATCAATTATTTCCTGCCAGTCTTGAATATATATATCATGTATTATCTGTCTGAACTAAGAAAATTGATTGAAATTCTGGTTTGAACTGGAATCATTTTATTTGGCGGCGTCTGAACCTTCAATTTTTGTGCATGTTTTCTGATCATTCGCTCACATTTTTCCATGATAATCGTTTAATTATACAAAATGACCAAGAAAAAAAAAGAGTTTGAACGCTTTTAAGTCATATGTATTTTCATTTAAAGAGATATTATGCAAATTTGAAATTTGAAAAAAGATAATTACTATTGTCTATACAGTCTTTTTTTGAAATGTAAAATAAACATCATTTGAATACAAACAAAGAAAATAATTAGGTACCTTTTAAACTCTACACACTACAGGTAAACACATTTTTATTACATAGTGTCATTAAAAAATTGGCAACTTTTAAAAGAATGACCAGTAACCAGGAATGCAGTTTCCCAAACAAAGTTTATACACTTGCTTATTCAAATTGAACAATTGCAGAAAGAATAAACTTGATTTCAATACAGTTTTACAATAAAAAATATTTGCCAAAAGATCAGCATAGTTTATCTTTAAGATATGATTATAGTGCATCGTTATCTTTTACATTTTAAGAGATTGTAGTAATTTTATAATATTTTTGTTTATAGATTTAATCTCAGAGACGCTCCATTAACATATCTTAAGTTTAATTAAATATCTTTTTTCATTTCAGCGCTTGGAGGATGAGTGCATGCACGAAAACCATGAATGGAAAGGCCTATTGTAATTTTTGCATCGTGGGAACAGTTATGCTAATTAATAAACATTTTAGGTTGAACTATAATATATATTATTTATTTAAAAAAAGCATCTCAACGGGCTCAAGAATATAATTATTTTACTTTATTCTTTGTTTTAACAATCAAGAGTGTTTCGTGTGACTTTATCTTGCTTCAGTGTTAAAACATATATATTTGTCTAAATATTTTCTGTAAAATTAAACATTTACGAATTCAACAAAGTTCGTTTTTTAACAGTCCATGTAATACAAAGTTTAAAACCATTACAGGTAGAGTCAAACAAGAAATATCATAAAATATAACAGGTGGAGTCAAACAAGAAATATCATTAAGTATAACAGGCGGTGTCAAACAAGAAATATCATTAAGTATAACAGGGGGAGTCAAACACGAAATATCATTAAGTGTAACAGGCGAAAAAAGAAATCATTTAGTATAACAGTTGGAGTCAAACAAAGAATATCATTAAGTATAACAGTAGGAATCAAACAAAGAATATCATTTAATACAACAGGGGGAGTCAAACAAGAAAAATCATTTAGTTAAACAGGTAAAAAAGAAATATCATTTAGTATAACAGGCGAAGTCAAACAAAACTAACATTTAGCATAACAGGTGGAGTCAAACAAAAAATATCATTAAGTATAATGGGTGAAGTCAAACTAAAAATATCATTAAGTATAACGAGTTGAGTCAAACAAGAAATATCATTAAGTATAACTGGCGAAGTCAAACAAGGAATATCATTAAGTATAACAGGCGAAGTCAAACAAGAAATATCATTAAGTATAAAAGGCGGTGTCAAACAAGAAATATCATTAAGTATAACAGGGGGGGGGGGTCAAACTAGAAATATCATTAAGTATAACAGGGGGAGTCAAACAAAAAATATCATTAGGTATAACAGGTGGAGTCAAACAAGAAATATCGTTAAGTATCACAGATTGAGTCAAACAAGAAATATCATTAAGTATAACAGGTGGAGTCAGACAGGAAATATCATTAAGTATAACAGGCGGGGTCAAACAAGAAATATCATTAAGTAAAATGCGCGGAGTCAAACATGAAATATCATTAAGCATAATGGGTGGAGTTGGAGTCAGTTGGAGTCAAACAAAAAATGTCATTAAGTATAACAGGGGGAATCAAACATGAAATATCATTACGTATAACAGGTGGAGTCAAACACGAAATACCATTAAGTATAACAGGTGGAGTCAAACAAGAAATATCATTAAGTATAACAGGTGGAGTCAAACAAGAAACGTCATTAAGTATAACAGGTGGAGTCAAACAAGAAATTTCATTTAGTATAACAGGCGGTGTCAAACAAGAAATATCATTAAGTATAACAGGGGGAGTCAAACAAGAAATATCATTAAGTATAACAGGCGAAAAAAGAAATATCATTTAGTATAACAAGCGGAGTAAAACAAGAAATATCGTTAAGTATAACAGGCGAGGTCAAACCAGAAATATCATTAAGTATAATTGGTGGAGTCAAACAAAAATAACATTAAGTATAACAGGTGGAGTCAAACAAGAAATATCAATAAGTATAACGGGTTGAGTCAAACAAGAAATATCATTAAGTATAACAGGCAGAGTCAAACAAGAATTATCATTAAGTATAACTGGTGGAGTCAAACAAGAAATATCATTAAGTATCACAGATTGAGTCAAAAAAGAAATATCATTAAGTATAACAGGTGGAGTCAAACAAGAAATATTGTTAAGTATAACAGGCAGTGTCAACAAGAAATATCATAAAGTATAATAGGTGGAGTCAAACAGGAAATATCATTAAGTATAACAGGCGGGGTCAAACAAGAAATATCATTAAGTAAAATGGGCGGAGTCAAACATGAAATATCATTAAGTATAATGGGTGGAGTCAAACTAGAAATATCATTAAGTATTTCAGTTGGAGTCAAACAAAAAATGTCATTAAGTATAACAGGGGGAATCAAACATGAAATATCATTACGTATAACAGGTGGAGTCAAACAAGAAATACCATTAAGTATAACAGGTGGAGTCAAACAAGAAATATCATTAAGTATAACAGGTGGAGTCAAACAAGAAATGTCATTAAGTATAACAGGTGGAGTCAAACAAGAAATTTCTTTTAGTATAACAGGCGGTGTCAAACAAGAAATATCATTAAGTAAAACAGGGGGAGTTATACAAGAAATATCATTAAGTATTAGAGGGGGGAAAAAGAATTATCATTTAGTATAACAAGCGGAGTCAAACAAGAAATATCGTTAAGTATAACAGGCGAGGTCAAACCAGAAATATCATTAAGTATAATTGGTGGATTCAAACAAAAATAACATTTAGTATAACAGGTGGAGTCAAACAAGAAATATCATTAAGTATAACGTGTTGAGTCAAACAAGAAATATCATTAAGTATAACAGGCAGAGTCAAACAAGAAATTACATTAAGTATAACAGGCGGTGTCAAACAAGAATTATCATTAAGTATAATGGGCGGAGTCAAACACGAAATATCATTAAGTATAACAGGCGAAGTCAAACAAGAAATATCATTAAGTACAACAGGCGAAGTCAAACAAGAAATATCATTTAGTATAACAGATGGAGTCAAACACGAAATATCATTAAGTATAACAGGCAGAGTCAAACAAGAAATATCATTTAGTATAACAGATGGAGTCAAACAAGAAATATCATTAAGTATAACAGGCGAAGTCAAACAAGAAATATCATTAAGTACAACAGGCGAAGTCAAACAAGAAATATCATTTAGTATAACAGATGGAGTCAAACACGAAATATCATTAAGTATAACAGGCAGAGTCAAACAAGAAATATCATTTAGTATAACAGATGGAGTCAAACAAGAAATAACATTAAGTATAACAGGCAGAGTCAAACAAGAAATTACATTAAGTATAATGGGCGGAGTCAAACATGAAATATCATTAAGTATAAGAGATGGAGTCAAACAAGAAATATCATTAAGTATAACAGGCGAAGTCAAACAAGAAATATCATTAAGTACAACAGGTGGAGTCAAACAAGAAATATCATTTAGTATAACAGATGGAGTCAAACATGAAATAACATTAAGTATAACAGGCAGAGTCAAACATGAAATATCATTAAGTATAATGGGCGGAGTCAAACATGAAATATCATTAAGTATTTCAGTTGGAGTCAAACAAGAAATGTCATTAAGTATAACAGGGGGAATCAAACATGAAATATCATTGAGTATAGCAGGTGGAGTCAAACAAGAAATATCATTAAGTATAACAGGTGGAGTCAAACAAGAAATATCATTTAGTATAACAGATGGAGTCAAACAAGAAATAACATTAAGTATAACAGGCAGAGTCAAACAAGAAATTACATTAAGTATAATGGGCGGAGTCAAACATGAAATATCATTAAGTATAATGGGTGAAGTCAAACAAGAAATATCATTAAGTATTTCAGTTGGAGTCAAACAAGAAATGTCATTAAGTATAACAGGGGGAATCAAACATGAAATATCATTGAGTATAGCAGGTGGAGTCAGACAAGAAATATCATTAAGTATAACAGGCGAAGTCAAACAAGAAATATCATTAAGTATAACAGGCGAAGTCAAACAAGATGTTAATATACGAAAAGAAAAATGTGAAATGTATTTAAGTATACGTCCAAATAGGTTATTTAGCGTTTTGTTATTTGTATTAAGTATAAAGTAACCATTGCTTGTTCAATGTTTTCCACGTGCTAGTTGACGTCATTTGACGTTATGTTTTGATGATTAGACAATCAGGGCCATCATTACATTAAACTTTTTTTTATAATTGCGCCCCGAGTCACCCATATTAAAAAACGTGCATGTAACGTGAATATACCCGTTAATGTAATTTTGTCTTTCGTAAATGTATACCTACGTACGCAGTTTTTATGTAAAAATATACATATAGTTTTGAAAACAAAATGATATAGTATAACTTGTTATCACTGGACGTTTCGGAGCAAGTTATCGCTGTCTAGCGTTAAGACTCGTTTAACCTACGAGAACAATACATGTAATTCTTTTTGCAACATCGCTACGAAGCGTTAATCGACATAATTATTAATTACATTCACTAACAATTCAATTAAAAGTATATTAAAATGTCTCATAGAAAACATGCAGGCTGATGTACATAGTAATAGATTTTAAAGTTATAGAGGAAACATTTATTCGATCCTTAAGCTGGTCAAGGATATATAATTATAAAACCTGAGCTTAAATATTTGGTATTTGTAGTATACATTATGCCCCTGGGATCAAAATTAGGTCTGTCCTGTGGTTCACTTAATAGTCAATCATAAATAAATGCTGATAGTCTGTATGGGTATCTTTTTAGTGTTATTTAGTGTTATGGGTATCTTTTTAGTGTTATTTAGTGTTATGGGTATCTTTTTAGTGTTATTTAGTGTTATGGGTATCTTTTTAGTGTTATTTAGTGTTAATCAAATAAAGGGAGGTAATGAAACAGAACATATCTTATTACACATACACTGTATACTGTTTCTAACGTTCAACAAAGTATATCTCATAAGATATTTGAACGATACATACATTTATAAAGTTAAGAAAATACGAATGTATAATATAATAACTGAGGTTTTCATATGAAATTCATGAGCAAATAAAATAACAATATCATCAAATCGCATAACAAGTACAATGTCATTCCGCATTATCGATGTTGCTTTGTATTGTCAAGCGTCATATCGCATTATTACCATGTCAATTTGTATTGTCGTGTTGTCATTTCGCATTGTCGTGATGTCACTTCTCATTTTCGAGTGTCGTTGTATTTCTGACAACAACACACGACAATACGAAACGACATTATCAAATTTCGCGACTATTTTGTTTAATTCTTTTGTAATTAATACAACGGAAAGCGACGCTCGACAGATCAAATTAAGCGACGCTCGACCACAGGAAGTGACACCCTCGACAATTTGATAATTGTTTGGTGTCGTTCCTTAAGCGGGACATGTTATAACTGGCACGAAAAGGACACCGTAAAAAAACTATTTTACATAATTATTTTACATATTAGGCCTATGCGTTGCGTTTTCTTTATTTCCTCCCTACTATTTCCGTTAAACAATTCCTCCTCCTATTTCCGTTAATCCTATTCCTTCCTACTATTTCCGTTAAACATATTCATCCCTTTTATTTCAGTTAATCATAC